TGATAGACTATAGTCGCCTTTGTTTTATCTTCCAATGAGGAATAACTAATTTACCATAATGGTTCCATTATGGTTGATGTATCTGCCTTAGTGAGTTGCGCCTTATCCTTTACGACAGTTATGTACAATGTTTAATTTTGATTTATTAATTCTCTGTCACGAGGCAAACATTTTTGCTACTATTTTTGTTTTGTCGTATTTATTGCGAGTGATTGATATTTTTCTGTTCTTAAAATATAATGTTTTACCACTTGCTCATGACTTGTATGGCTTAATTACTGGCACATATGTCCGGACCTCGCAGTCCGTCCCTCTCAATCTTTTTTTCATGACTTGGAAGAGCACCCAAGATTATCTGCTCGAGGTATCCGTCCGCTCGTGGAAGATGGGCCCGCCGTGGGTGGGCACGTGATCTATGATGTGCGGCACGTGGTGCGTCTGGTAGGCGGGCTGGACCACGGGGACGTTGGACCTGCGAGGGCAGAGGGCGAGGTTAGCTCATCGTTGAACTCCGAGTTAAATCAACCCAGAGAACACGAAAATGTCACAAATAGGTCATTTTCTGTCATTTGACGTCGAAATGACTGAGTTTTGGCCTAAATTTTGACCTTTCTCGTGACCAAATTAGTCCTTGTGATGTCAATATGACGTCGTCGTGAGTTTTTCGTGTTCATTGGAAAGGGTCAGACCGTTATACTTTAGCTCATGTGGGGCGAGGTGCCTCACATTACCTAATGTAGAGCACTAGTGCCTCAAATTATTAGACAATGTAGATCAGCCAGTGCCACCTCACACTAGCTAAAACACGGACTTCACGAGAATCAATTTAGAAACGAGGAACCATGAAAAGCCCCTTTGAAAGTGCCGCGCGCGGGGTGGCGGAAGCAGGTGGTTTTAGTTCAACTGTTTAAAGACACCCTGCGGCCGGTTCGGGTTGGTTGGTTGAGAAGAGAGTGGGCGGACGCAGACGGAAGTTTGTGGGACATAGAGAGCAAGGTGCCGAAGAGTGCCGAAGGGGGTTTGCAAAACTTACCCCTTTTTGCCTGTACCCTCGTCTAGGCATTTAAAACGAACGGACTGCTGGTCGGAAAGGACAAGCCACCACTGCAACAGGACAGAGAAGGGGAAGATGAAGAGAGGGACAAAGAGAGGTTAGACCACCAAAGAACCCGGGACAGAGAGAGGGGTGATGTTGATGCGTGCGGAACGGAAACGGAAAAGAAAGGTAAGGCGAGTGCTCTTCACAACAGACAGCAAGGAAACATAGATCGAAATAGACGTTTGCGTTTGTAAGAGCCTCTGTCACCCGGAGAGACGAAGGCCACAATGTGGGGAAAGTTACACCTCTCACTTTGGCGGTGGCGGTGGCGGGGTGTGTCACGTTACGGGGTAAGGGTAAGGCCACCGTGGTCGACCAGGTCCGTCCGTCCTCTGCAAGCCGACACCGATGGGAAAAGGGGGGGATAGCGTGTGAGGCTGACACATTTAAACCCCTGTTTAGTTGATATCTACTAGCTGACTTTGAAGTATTGGGACTGGTGGTGGTTGGTGGTGTTAGTGCGCCCGTGGAGGAGAAAGCTCCAGGACCACCGGTCTAACCTGTCTGCCGGGGGATGCTGGACCTGAAGGCCGGGGGCCCCAAGCCCTCAGTGGGGCAGTGTGACTCTGGGGCAACGACCTTGTGGTGGTGGTGGTGGTAGTAGTAGTGGTCGAGGCGCGCGTTGTCGGCGCCGACGTAAGCAGGTTTTCCCTTCCCGCAGCCGCACAAGCTTCCCCCGGGCAACTTCACGCCGTTTTGCGTTGCGCAGCGTGTCGCCGCCGGCCTGGCCGTGCGCGCGCTGCGCATTTCACAAGAAAGCCACACCGCGGCTGCATACGCGATGAGTCGGACCAGTCGGACGCGTTCGGCCCGCCGCCCCCGCCGCCCCCCTACACCCTCCAGGAGGGTATGCTGCCGGCCGCCGCCCCAGCCCCCGGCAAGCACAAGCGCCCCGCTGGCGCTGACGCCTCGGCCGACGCGCCCGCCCGCCCCCCGCCCTGGAGCTGACGCCAGCAGCCGCGCGAAAAGCTTTCTCCGCTGTTGTCAGGGACAACGCGCGTGCGGTGTGATGCCGGTGCGGGAGCCGTTTGAGTGCCGCCGACATGCTTCAACGCCCAGCCGTCCGGCCGCGCCATTCAACACCCCCTCCTTATATTTTTATTATTACAACCCTCACCCCCAACCCGTTTCTCCCACTCGCGACTTAGTTGCGTCCGCACTTACGGCGTCAGCAGCAGCGAGCTGAGGAAAGGGGACGGACGCCCGCACCACCGCCTCGCCACCGCCTCGGGGCGCTCCGGGGCGCTGCGGCGTTGGTGATGGTGGTGGGGCTCCTGTTCCACGGCGAGAAAGCTCCTTGGAGCGCCCGTTGCAGCAGTATATCGAGTACTAGGCCGAGCGTGTGACCTACTTTTTCCGACATTGGTCCTATTTCCGTGCCCTCTCCCCTTTCCCCACCCTCCCCCCGGCGAGGCGTGGCGCTGCGGTGGCGGCGGCGGCCTACAGCGAGGCCTACAGGTCCAGGGCGCGCAGGAACGTCCACCCCTTTGACGGGTCCAGCCCCTCCCTGCAACGGAAAGGCCCTGGGGCTTGAGGCTGAGCTACAACAACAGTTCGGACGCGCCAATGCCTTGCGCCGTTCCGCCTTTCCCCCCCTGCCTCGAAAAAACAACAACAACATCACTGTGCCCCCCTCTCCCCTCCCACCCTATTCCCCTAGGAAAGGCATGCTATAGGAGGCCCTCATGATGGCATTCCCTCCCCTTGAACCCGGAGGCTGGTTGAGTCTGGCTGCGTTTCCCAGACATCACAGCCTCACAATGGGACTCACATGAGGAGGGCGAGCTGATGAAACAACCCCCTTCCCTCCGGCCGATCCTCCCCCTC